GTAATATGTAGTAATTAATGAAAGAAGATTAAACGCACCATAATCATTTATATATAATGATTTACTATAATATTTTACGCTTTGTACATTGCATGGTAAAATACATGAGTGACATAGTACGACATATAATTCCCCTTTGCGTATTATCACAAAAACGTAAGTAACATGGTGGTTAAGGTGTTGAAGGAGTGAAATGGTAGCTGTTCGAATCCCCTTTGAATGTGTGCTTTGTTTTTTTTTTTTTTTTCATTTTTTTATTACATCGATATTTTCGATATTATAGCTATATTTTGACAAAATATTGCTGAAATGTGAGTGAAATTATCGACATCGATATTTTTCGATATTATTGATATTTATTCGATGTGTGTATGGATACATTCCGAAATATCCATGACTTGAAAAAACAATAATATCCTTGATATTTCGTCAATATTATTCTCGATATTTAATCGATATTATCGATATTTTAAACTATAGTATGCAATAGACAAGGAAGTTTAGTAGAGCTGACTTCATCTGATTTCAACAGTAAGGTTCAAAGATGTGTTCCTTGGAGTGCAAGGCTGATGGTATCTTAAGATGACTCCAAATTGCATAGTATTGATGCTTTGTACAAATGGATGTTGCCAAATCCTAGTATATTTTCAGTTGCAGCCGCCCCTTCTAGATAGACTTGACGATGACCTTGAGTATTTGATTGGTCTCAAATTGATTTGAGTGAATCACATAAACACATGTTGATCTAATTTTAGACATTAACCACTCTCTTATTGCATGACAAAGATAATTATTGGCACTTTCAAACTTGTTTTACCTGATATAAATATGGAAATTTTGCTACAGTGATATGATATGAAACTTATGCTAAAAAATTGTTTATTATTTTTTTGATGTGCCCTGTGGATGAATTATTGGGGATTTAAAAAGGCAAATTTGATGTGACATGATGTTAGCAAACATGTGTCGGGTCCGGCCTAACGTGTTCCCCTTGCCTTCTTAGTTTACATTAGGCTCAAGATATGCAATCAATAGATGGTGAGAGTCTCATAGTGCTATATATAGACCATAAACGTAAGATCTTTATATTAGCCACAAGTTTCATTTGAATAGTAACTTCACTTAAGTTTAAAAAAACGATTATGTAGCTAATATGAAGACCCACATGAGAGGTGCATATATGTCACCCTCACTATAGAGGTGCATATATGTCACCCTCACTATAGAATTTCACGTAAATATGCAATACTTATCATTTCTCTACACACATTTCTCTACACATGGCCTTTCTTTTGACTTCTTCAACCGGAAAATACCAACTCAGTATCGTTTAGATTTGCTTATTTTGGGCCATAAGTGATTATTTTGACATTTTTGAAATCCCAACTCGTTTGGTAAAGGGTTTAAAAATCACTTTTGTGGAATAACTTATCCAAATGAACCGGAGACAAATGAAAAGCACAATGAATCGGGGAAAAAAAAAAATTCTTATGACCACGGTTGAAAATTATAATTCCCTCAAAATTTGAGAATTTACTTGGCTTTAGTCGGTATAGCTCAAGTAGTATTGATGTGGGTTGTAAAAAGGAAAAATGAATCAATCTCAAAAATTGAAGCAAGAATCTCTTTCACGTCTCTAAACATCTAAGAGTTGAACCTCAGATTTTTGTATTTCATCATCCTCATCCCAGTTGGTGCTCTTGTAGTAGGTGGCATATAGGATGAGCTGCACCAACCCAGAAATTGATCCCAAACCATTGGGAACCTACCAAAATTTTTCAAAGAAAATGGTTATGCACTCTTCTTATTGAAAATAAATATAATTTAATAAACGTGTACGTACTTGAAACAACAAAAATGTATAGAGAATTACCAAAATGTAGGGATCAAATTTGATGAGTGCATAGATGAGCCAGACAATTCCATTGCAGAAGTTAGCAAGAGAGAGGGTAAACGGCATATATTTCACACTTTTTGTTTTTATGACCATTTTCTGCCACCCAAAAAGTAAGATATATAAAGCCGTGGTGAATGATTTTCTACCCTTAGACGATGATTCATCCAATGATTTTCAACCTTTAGACGATGATTCATCCAAAGGTTAAAAACGTGTGTCAATTTATGTGGATTTTTGTGAGTCCCCTGATCCCGACTCAAAAATATTTAAGACACATGCAATATCTATGCAACATAATAATATATGAAAATGACTTATTTCTACATACCATGATTGTCAAGGGTGAGGCATACATAATGATGTTGAAGACAATGCACAAGATGCCAATTATCATAGACCGGCCTTTAGTGGTATGGAGAAAGTGCAGGGTGACGAAAACCACAACAGCAAAGAAGATAACTTCAACCAGAAGAGCAATAAGGATCCATCGCTGCAAAGGAAATAAGGACATATAGAAGTTTTAATAAGGAATTAGCATTCCATAGCTCATGATATTTCACTTCTTAGTAGTATTACGTACGCGTTTTGCATTAGAAGAGTATGTTAAGAAGATGGCAATGTAGATGAGTTCGATAACGAATCCACAACCGTTGATTGTAACGACAAGAACGCTATCAGGATGGACGAAGGGCATGCCATAGAAAGACCACATAGCACAATTGAGCAATGTTGCTACATAAGGATCTGCCTTGAATTCTCCTACTGATTTTTGCTTGATTATTTTCAAAAATGTTGTGCTGCAGTATTTTCATAATTCATCACATAACATAAGATCTTTGTAAATGCATAGATTAGAGATCAGAAAAAGATAAAGACAAAGAGAAAGGAGCTAGAGCTTACAATGGGGAGGTAAACAAAAAGAAAGAGATGACATTACCTATGAGAAAAAAGGAACAAGAAAAAACAGTATAGGTAAGATAAATGTGAGAAGAAATAACCGTTTCTTTCTCACTGGTGTAGTGTCACCAAAATAGTAATGCCAGAGAGCTAGATTGAAAATAGAGGAAAATAAACGGAAGCGCGCTAAACAAATAACTGACCGATAATGCCTACAATGATTCTGATCGCTTCTAGATTCACCATTTTTACATTTAGCGGAGAATCAAAATGTGGCGAATGTGTTCTTGATCGTTACACAAAACAAAGAGGATTTTTTATATCGTAAGAACGGAGATGATATGACGACTACTTGGGGTTTTGATGAGGTTTAGATTGAAAACTTAGAATTATTTAAAGGGCCATTCTGAATTAGAAATTTATTTTTAGCCATGTCCACAACAAAATGTGACACATATAGGTGTAAGTGACCTGCCTCAAAGTGTTGTATTGTTAGATCAGGTGTGGTTGTAAACTGCCTACACTCGCAAAAGATTGTCCACAGAGATGTAAATGTGCTGGACAAGACACCGATTTTGGGTGAATCTCCTGATCCTTTTTGTTATAACAAATAGATAATTTTGTTTTAAAAGTCTTGCTATTTTTTTCCCACGGAGTTTTGTTTCCAATGTTAATATAATTTGTATACTTTTGCTTATATTTTCTGGCCCCCCAAACTTCAAATATTAGCTCCATCGGTGCTTTACAAATCGAGATTGATTCCTCTTTTCGTACATTAAAGTAGTTTAGAATATCATTTTTGACATTTAAAAAAAAAGGGTAATAACCTAATACAACATGTAGCTGCGGCCAATTGGTCACAACCATAAAAATTTCCTGCCCTTGTTAAATTATGTCAACCAACAGTGACAACTTCCTACTGTGGGGAAGATGATGAAGTTCCCTTTTTTCTTTTTTCTTTTTTGGGCGAAAGATGATGACGAAGTTGCTAGGAAACTCAAGATAAGAAAAGGACCGTCCATGCTTGTGCTTGAATTCAAAGAAAGAGGGTGGCAAGTGGGGCTGATCATTGCTGTTTGTTTCCCGGGAAAATTCACACCTGTCTGTGGAAATTCGAGCTGTTACATATTTATAGAGGGAGGTCTCTTTCAGTGTTGCCAACAGCTAACTAAACCTCCACACGTCGACACATACACAAACAGAGATAGAAAGATGCAACTCAAATGATACTAAAATTTCCTAACTTTGATGGTTACACATTTTGCTTTTGCTTTTCTTTTTGGTTGTTGTTTTCTTCTTCTTTTTTCGAGTAGGACAAATGCACATTATTGCAAATGAACGAAAGTCGTTTTGTGGTATTTGTTTTCAAGTAATAATTTTTTTTGAAGGCAAATGGAAAAAGGGTTCATTTAGCCTCTTGTTTTTCATTCAAATCCCATTTAAACAAGCTTTCAAAGATTCAGGGCTCTCATGGAATTTTTATTTATTTTTACCTGAAGAAGCACGTTTACTAGAATGTCGAAATTTTTATAAAAAATTCAAGTATTTCTTGAAGAATATTAACATTTTAAAAAATTTCGGCCAAATGCAACTACAAACGCATTTTGTGAAAAAGAGTATTGACTGACAACCTCAACGATTTGAGAAAAAATTGAAAATTACTAACCCCCTCCGTGTTCATGAATGCACGGAAGCACACAACAAACCAAATTTTATGTCAAAAAATGAATCCACAAGGAGATATATGTAAGAAGATTCATTATTATACATAATATAAGAGCCCAAATTAAAAAAAAAAAATCTACATAAAATAAACTTTAGAGACACACCAAAAACTCATTTACAACATAACAAAAAGAACTTCTTTTAAATTACAAAACTACCACTGATTTCTTAAAAAGAAATACAACCTCAAAACATCATAAAAAAAACTTAAAATACTCAATAGGACATCAAAGTAATTTAATAATCAAAATTAAATACAATAAAGTCAACTGTCATTTTTTGAATTTTTTTGTGTTTGTTTATGAAAATGAAATAATATATGATGTATTTATAGTTTTAGTGTTAAGAATGAATATATGACTAAATATCTCTTATAAGTAAGTTTTAAATTCAAAAGATAAATCGTCCGTGTACGTAGAGAAACTCACTTAATCCCCCGACAACATGACTCGATTTTTTTGGTACTGTTACTTATTCTCTCTATCAATAATACTATGGCTCTTTTCTCAAAAAAGATAAATAGCAAGACACAGCACAAAAGCCATTAATATCTTTCTCTCGAACAAAGCATACAAAATGAAAAGCAAAAACTAATAATAATACTTCCACCATATGTTATCAAACACGAGACCAGCAGAAACATAACTAACTTTCAAATTTATCTCATCTATTTATATTATATAATATATATATATTTATGTTGTAATTTTTATTAAAAATTAAATATCACACCGAAGTCTGTGGAAGCTTTGAACCCACCACCTTACCCTCTTGACTCAACCCGCTGGCCACTCGCAATTCACCACCAACTGCCGGGGGACCCACAGCTTGGTACGCCTGCTGCTGCGGTGGCTGCATAATCCCACCTCCTGGCGCAGTATAGTACACCTGCCTCCCCGTCACGCTATCGTACGCCATCTGAGTATACGGCGACGCCTCGGCGTACGTCGCCACATATTTTGGGGGCTGCGGAGGCAGAGAACTTGGCTGAGGCTGCGGCGGCAGATTACTTGGCTGCTGCTGCGGCGGCAGAGTACTTGGCTGCTGCTGCGGCTGTGGTACCACATTGTACACCGGCTGTTCCCGGTAAACTTCAGACCCCATCCGCTGCTGCATGTGGTAGTACCCTTGACCGGGTGGGCCGGTTACCGGTCGCACCATTGGCGGCGGCGCGTGATACATAGCGCCGCCTCCGGTGGTGGCTGTGATCATGTACATCGGCTGTGGAGGGGCGGCCGGCCCCTGCACACCGGCCCCACCGTCACCGGAGGCGGAGGCGCCTTCTCTGGAAGTTTCTGTACGTAATAATCTCCGGCACCGCCGCCGTACCCTCCGACGAGATTCTCGTCAACCTGTCTCCGATACATGGCTTGCTGATGATCTTGCTCTGCAATTTGTAGCCTCTGCAAATGCCTCTGGAACTCCACCGGATCCGACCCGATCACCCTGTCACCGTGACCCGACCTGACCTGGAATTCTGGTGGCGGCGCCACGTGTTCCGGTACCACAGGCACCGCGGGCGGAGGAGGCGGCACGACGGCAGCGACGCCTCCCTTTTCCAAACCGAAGAGAAAGTCGACGTTATTTTGGACAGGAGGCTTGGAATTCGAGTCAGGTCCCTGGGCGGGACTGGAATTTAGAGCTTCAACGAACCGATCCCTATCGGATCTTCCACCATCCGACCCGAATCCGCCGTCGGGGCCGGCATTAAAGAGGAACAATCTCATGCGGACGGGCCTAGCGGAAGTCCGGTAGACGCGATCGTACTCGTGCATCATGTGCTCCAAGTCGTCGTCGTTGGTGACAGAGATCAGGGCATCGAGGTCTTCGCCGGGGAGCTGGTACTTGAACGACACGTCGGTTTCGGAGAGGGAGGAGAGCTTGGAGACGAGAGCGGCGAACTTGGTGCTGCGATCGACGGCGAGGATCTTTGTCTCGCCGCCGACGTAGCAGAGCTGGTTGTCGTGCGGGCGGGGGAGGATCTTGCCGCCATAGCTGCACATGAACTTGACTTTGTAGTTCTGGGACTGCGAATTAGCTTGGTCGACGTCCCATGGCGGAGGGTTCTCGAAATCGATCTCGCGGGAGCGAGGGGACGAGTCGCCGGATTCCGGGTAGGAGCTGTAGGAGTAGTTCTCCATGGCTATGACGACGAGAGCTTGAGAGAGAGAGTGGTTTACTGGATTTGTGAGTCCATGATGAGGAGGAGGAGGAGAAAGAGGGAGGGTTGGAGAAGACTTGGCCGATCTTTTATTTTTGTTTGTTTTGGCGTTCAATAGGATGACTGGGACAGGTGGCGTTGTTAGATTGGGTAGTGGATGGTGATGTGAGTGGGGGATGGACTTTTGGGGCTGGGGTGGGGGTCACCTAGCCTGCATTCAGGGGAGGGAGGGAGAGAGAGAGAGAGAGCAGATAAGAGAGTGATGTGTTGACTGGGATTGGACTAATAATAAGGGGAATGTCTCTTTGCAAATGCCAGTGAGTGCTAATTGAATGTATTTCAAGAAAGATGAAAGTTACATATTCAACAAATGAAATAGTAAAAAGTGAAAGAATGGAGACATTTGATAGTTACCCTAAATTTTAAATTCTAAACTCTAAACTCTAATGCCGCGTTTCATACGGAGAGAATTAGACTGGAGTAGTTTGGATTAGGAAAATGACTTGAATCTCGTTTTAAATGAAGGAAGAATATGGATGTTGTCTTCTAACTTGAATGATTAAGATAGACTATTCATAAGAGGTAAGTTTTTAGTCATCAACAACCTCTTATGAATAATCAACATTAATTCTTCAAGTCAGAAGAAAACACCTATATTCTTCTTTTACGTTAGGAATAAAGATTTATGAGTGTTTTTTTGCGGTAAATTAATAATTTAGTAATAAAATATGACAGCCATTCAATGTATGCTCATGTTTGAACTTCAATGACCATGCCTTCACCATGCCCCAAATTAAGGTCCTAACTGTTTCCGGACTTTGAGAAGAAAAAAAAAATCCGAAATTCTCATTTCAAAATATGGTGTATATTAATTGACAATGGCAATGTCACATTTTCTACCCTCTCCTGCATGTTGGCTCTTCAATTGTACCTAAAAGTGGCATTCTCTTAATAAAATTATGAAAATAATTATGTGGCTAGACAATAAAGTTTGCATACTTCTCTACATACTCTCTTAGAATTGCTCTGACCAACTGCTTCTGCAAGAGAAAAAAATGCTGCCATGGGTGCCTTTTTCAGCACAAACACCGCGAACGTCTGCGAAAGTGACTGGGAGGAGAAGACAAGCAATTCCATCATCAACAAGAAGCAGCTTGTTGCTTGCAAGAGAGGGCAATGTAGTTGCGCCAAGATTTTTAGCAAGTGTAAAGTTATCATGAAAAGCCCTCGTATCAATCTTAGTTTATGTTTATAAAAATACGAGAAGCGTAACATTTACATTACTCTTTTCCTTCAATAGATTCTTTAAAATTAATTAAATTTAGCCAAGTGGGTTTTGATCAGATCCATAAAACAGTAGAAGATATTAGATGCAATCATGAGTTGTCTAATCCAAATTGATTAATATATCATTTTCTGGTGTCATTAGACATGAATTACGGCAAGAGCTATGATTCTTTGGGCATGGTGGAGGCATGGTGGAAGCATGGACTTCTATAATAATGGATGCTCATTTCTCGTACATTCAATTCATTAAAAATCCTGCGCTGTTCATTTCTATATTATTTGTGTCCATGTCAAAATAATCTCATCAAAATATATTGAACATGATGTGGCTTCGGGCTTTGCCCCCCAACTTAATAATAAATAAAAAAATGATGTGGCTTCTAGTTTATTGGCTAAAGGGTACATTTAGTAGCAAAAACACTTTCTTGTAATGAGAATAGCATTGTTTTATTATTTTGAGCCAATAATGCAGTGACATGTAGAAAAGTTATCCCGCATGTCATTGCGATATGAGTCGAAAATAGCAAAAAATATTATCCCCTTTGCATGAAAATCTCTCTCATTTAGTAAAGTAATTATAGTGTAGTAATATTATGATCAGAATGTATAACTCGGGCATGTGTTGTAATAATGTAAGTGGATATTAATTGATATTATAACTTGAAAAGTGGAAAATCTTAACCCAGTCATTTATCTATATTATAACACGTGAACAAGTTATATTACGTAATCATATTTCAGTACCATAAAATAATTTCTTCATTTAAATATCAGCTAGTTGATTCTTGATTTACTATTTATACACCCGTACCTAGAATGTTGGCCATCAAAACCAAGAATCTGTTAGCTATATACTATTTTTGTCTATTTATGTTCATACATAGCTAGAATAGGGAGGGGTTTAATTTAATGTTTCACTAGGTAAGATTAATACAATAATGGGTTGCATGATGAGCTTAGAAAAATGCTAAGAATAATGTCTGTTAACAGCAGGAACAATAGTGTTATTATTTGTAATTGACATGAAGACAACTAGATTTTGTAGTTGCATCTGCAGTTTCTTTTTTCAACTGCTTGTTTTCAAGTTTATTACTCCCAGATTCTTAATTGTTTGACTAAGTTAACTTCAGAAGGCAGGAACCAATAATGAAATGTTTTGACTATTAATAGTGCCAGGCCTCATGGGACGTTTCCAAGTAACCCTATTCAAGTTTTAAGTTAAGCGAGTCGATTGTCAATGTGAGTTCGTTCTCTTGTACCCAAAATTATAAGAGGGATTCACTATTATACTCAATTTAGGGGCCCAAATTATAAAAATACCCTATATGAAATGGACTTTAGAAACACATCCAAAGCTCATTTACAACATAACAAAGAGGCTTCGAACTTTTTATAAATTACAAAACTATCATCGATTTCTTAAAACAAGCCCAACTCCAAAACCTCATAAAAACCCCAAAACACTCAATATGACATTAAAGTAATTTAATAATCAAAATTAAATTCAATAGGGCCAATTATCCTTTTTTGGATTTTTTTTTTGTTTGTTTATAAAAATTATATGATGTTTGGTTTATCCATATCACTATTACTAAGAATGAGTATATAACTAAATACATCAAATTATAATACAACTTTTAAGATAGAAAAATGAAACGATTTCATTATATATATATATATATATATATGTGTGTGTGTGTGATTCTTAGTCTTTGTTGAGGCCCAAAAAATCCATAGTTGGGCCCGAATAAATTATCATCGATTTCTTAAAACAAGCCCAACTCCAAAACCTCATAAAAACCCCAAAACACTCAATATGACATTAAAGTAATTTAATAATCAAAATTAAATTCAATAGGGCCAATTATCCTTTTTTGGATTTTTTTTTTGTTTGTTTATAAAAATTATATGATGTTTGGTTTATCCATATCACTATTACTAAGAATGAGTATATAACTAAATACATCAAATTATAATACAACTTTTAAGATAGAAAAATGAAACGATTTCATTATATATATATATATATATATATGTGTGTGTGTGTGATTCTTAGTCTTTGTTGAGGCCCAAAAAATCCATAGTTGGGCCCGTATAAATTTATAGCCCAAGACGATATATTATTGGAAAAAAATCCGATTTGGAGCACATGAAAGTATGACATACACGAGTTATACTCCGCACGCCATGCTAAATAAAAAATCCGTCGAGCTAGGAATTGAGATTAAAATTATAAAATGCATTTAGCTCTGCAAATCCATGCCAATTATCCTATCAAGCGCCATATTTAAAAGCATGCCAAGCAACATGCCATGCCAAGCGGAAAATTATTATTTCACACCCAATCACACTACAAGCTTAAGTGGGCCCAAGCCACTCAAATGCCCGGGGCTTGCTTGAATGGGTTGTGGTATGGATGGTAACGAATTGTCATGGGGCCCATTAATGGGCCGAGAAATGGAAGTCTCGGGTCGCTTGGGGGCCTCGGGACTCAAGCCTATTTTCTTAGGCTCAAATGTGAGTAAGCACAAGAGAGGAAATAGCCCAATTGCTTCAACTAGAGTAGCCCAACCAAAATAATCATTACTTTAGATAGCCCATAAAGCCCAAATACTTGGTGAATTTAACCCACTTATTAGATGACTTAGCCTTCTATATTAAAGGGCCCATACCATTTGAATAAAAGGAGTCCAAGGCCTTCAGCACTTAGCTGAAGCAGAAGTCAACGAAGAAAGCCAAAGATTCACATGTGAGGGGTTGCTGGGAGAACAAGTTCCAAGTGCAAGCATTCAAGAAACCAAGGGGTATTAGCACGCAGGGGAAGATGTTATCCCTTAAACCAGCAGGCGCATCCATTTTCTTTCCTTTATCAAATTTGGCCATGAAAGGAGGAGGAAAGGAGAGAACGAAGATGGGTGAAAATGGAAGCTCTCCTCTGAAGCCGCTGCCATAAGAAGCCTCGAGCTCCCAAAAATATCTGATTTTGTGGGATTGGACAGAACTGATTTTTGCCTTCATGAGGTAAGTCAAGAAAGAGGAGAAGAAAGGAAGAGGAAAGCTTAGCTAGATTAGAAAGAAACCATTAGGGTTTCTTGGAGAAGACCCATTCCCAGCAGCTATAAATAGGACCCCTTCTACCCAACACAACACAACCCACAACCTTCAGAGAGCAAGCTTTCTCTCTCACATGCAAACCCAGGAATTTTCGTGCTATCCTTCCTCATTTTCCTTTATTTCCCCTGTTTTGGCAGATTGACAGAAGCTTTGACAGAGTCACTGTCAAGCTGCCGGAAATTGCGAAAGTCACCCAAAACTCTTCACCATCCTTCTCCCTCTTCATCAAACCTCCTTAGAACCTCTCTCCCTCTCCATTAGAACCTTTGTACCTCATAGGAACCTACAGCTCTCTCTCCTAAAGTGCTAAACCCATGATAATTTTTGCCCTCATGCCATAAGTCACTCATGCCAAGCTAGAATATTTATCTGTAATTTGTTGTCATTTTCATCGGTGAAGGTAACCAAGGAGTTTCCTAAGGCGTCATCACCCTTTCGAGACATCCTTGGCGCTTGATCTTCGAACCCAGACACAAGGGGACACTTGCATCAGATTGCTCTTTACAGCAGCTCAGCCCACTTGCTGCCGGAAGAAAAAAAGCCCCTACAGTCTTAAAAAAATACAATTCTTATCCATAATCATAAGGTCATAAACTTTTTCCATAAATAATATTATCTTTTTGTTTCAAATTCAATGTGTGGAAAGTGTTTTCCAACACTTATAGAAGTATCATGCTATTCGAATTTAACTCCTCATCCCCTTCAATGGCGAACTTAGAATTTTTTTTCTATGTAAAAAAGATAAAATACAACGTATAACTGCAAAAATTCCAGCCTTAAATAATTAATAATGTTGATGCTCTTTTTGGGAGGTCAACTTAGATAGAGATAGAATAGTGAATGATGGGTGAAAGTGAGGACCTGCAGCATATGTATGTGAAGACTTGGGCAAGCGATAAATGTAAAGAAGATAAGATATACGTGGTTTACCCTTTATGAATGGGCTACGTCCACGGAGAAGTATGTTCTCATTATAATGGTGTATGATTACATTTGTACATGAGGTTAGACCCGAATATAAAGATGACAAGTGAGATGCCCAGGCCAGGGATCTAGAAGAGAGTCCCCGGCCCTAGAGTCTAGCTCTGAGACTCGGATCCTCGTCTAGGTGGAGAGAAGTCCCCTTTTCACATGGATGCTATTCCCTATTTATAGGAAGGTGAAAGTGGGAGGTTTGTGCAGATTTCCAATGTGATACTTTGTGCAAGTCGTTTTGAGGCTGGACATGATCGGTTGATTATGGTGTAAACTGTAGTCCCCCAAGTTCGCGGTTAAGAAGTAACTTATGGGTTGAGAACTTGTGAGTTGCTGAAGGCATCGCTTGCTCCAAATGATGGAGGGGTGCTAGAGGCATCGCTCGCGCCGTATGATGATGGGTTGCCGAAGGCATCGCTCGGGCCAAATAGCGGCGGGGTGCCAAAGGCATCGCTTGTGCCTAATAATGATGGGGTGCCGAAGGCATCGTTAGTGCCAAATGACGACGAGGTGCCAAAGGTGTCGCTCGTGCCGAATGATGACGGGGTACCGAAGGCATCGCTCGTGCCGGTTGATGGACAGGTGTCGAAGGCATCGCTCGTGCCAAATGATGACGGGGTGCCGAAGGCATCCCTCGCGCCTAACAATGACGGGGTGCCAAAGGCATCGCTTGCACAGGTTGATGATGAGGTGCCGAAAGATATCACTCAAGCTGAATGACAACGGGGTGTTGAAGGCATCGCTCGAGTCAAATTATAGCTAGGTGCCGAAGGCAACATAAAGTTAGCATGTTGCAAGGCATTGTGGCTGGGCACAAAGGCGCAAAAGGCGACACAAAACTTGCGTGTCGCAAGGCAATGTGGCTAGGCACGATGGTGCTGAAGGCGACACAAGACGTGGTTGGGCACGGGGGTGCCGAAGGCAACACAAAGCTTGCATGTTGCAGAGCGATGTGACTAGGCACGGGGAGGCAGAAGGCGACACAAAGCTTGCGTGTCGTAAGGCATTGTGGCTAGGCACGATGGTGCCAAAAACGACACAAGATATGGCTAGGCAAGGGGTGCCGAAGGTGACACAAAGCTTGCATGTCGCAAGGCAATGTGACTAGGCACCAGAGTGTCGAAGGCAACACAAAGGTTGCGTGAGATGAAAATTGTTGATGGGTATGAAACTTTGGCAAGGTGCCGAAAGGGAGAAATGCAAATGTGCTAAATGGTAAGTTACAAGGTGATGATTGAAAGAGTGCCGAAGAGCACTAGAGGAAGGGAAGAACGACAAAAGCTTCTTGTGTCGATTCCCACAGACGGCACCAAACTGTTGATGCTCTTTTTGGGAGGTCAACTTAGATAGAGGTAGAATGGTGAATGATGGGTGGAGGTGAGGACCTTCAGCATATGTATGTGAAGACTTGGGCAAGTGATAAATGTAAAGAAGACAAGATATACGTGGTTCACCCTTTATGAATGGGTTATGTCCACGGAGAAGTATGTTCTCATTATAATGGTGTATGATTACATTTGTACATGGGGTTGGATCCGAATATAAAGATGACAAGTGAGATGCCTAGGCTAGGGATCTAGAAGAGAGTCCCCAGCCCTAGAGTCTAGCTCTGAGACCCGGATCCTCTTCTAGGTAGAGAGAAGTCCCCCTTTCACATGGATACTATTCCCTATTTATAGGGAGGTGAAAGTGGGAGGTTTGTGTAGATTTCCGATGTGGGACTTTGTGCAAGTCGCTTTGAGAATGGACATGCTCGGTTGATTACGGTGTAAACAATCTCATCTTTTCCCCAATTTTCAGAGACAGAAGGTTGTCTTCGTTTTATAATGATTTTCCTCCACTCATCACATGTGGGTGTGTCTCGACGTCGGATCTCCACATTCGTTTTGGTTTCAGATCTCTACCATCATCCTTTTTGTGATTTTTTCATGCTTGGAATAAGTCACAGAGACTCTTTGTATTTTATGTGTAGTTTTCACCTTTCCTTTTGTGAGAGTTTTTCACATCTCTTTTGTGAGAGTTTTATTTGTATTGTTATGTCTTGATTTTTTCAAGCTTGATATATTTTTGGTTGTTTTGAGTTTGCACTCTTAGTGGGGATGCCTATGCAAAAATTTCTTCGATCCTACGTGATTGTTAGTGGATGAGCTCTCCAAATTGTTTTAATTTTGATGTTAGATCGCTCCGTTATTGTAATGGTCCTTTGTGGCTATTGGCTTTTTTTGCTGAATTATGAATGCAATCCCACAATTTCTATAAATAAAAAAAATAATTAATAACATTTACAGTAAATACATTTAAATTTGTCCTCTACGAGTTTTCATGTTTTGAAAAAGTTGGACTATAAAGTCATTATCAATGTCATTGAAAATGTCTTTCTCAATATATACAACTAAGCTATCATTGATCCATTGATGTGTCATTCAATTGCGCCACCGACTCTTAATAAAGTTCATACTAGAGAATGCCCTTTCTACAGGAGTTGTAGTAATTGGAAGTACTAATGCTAATGTTATGAGCAAATAAACTAATGGATATACTTTTAGTTTTCCTGCCTCAAGTTTTGCCAAGATCAGAAATTCCATTTGCCTTACTTCTCATTGACTCTTCCTTCTATGTTCTAAACATACGCCAACGGTCAGGATGCAGACGTTTTGCTTGCCTGTACCATGGATCACTAAATCCGGTCATCTTACTTCCCATGAATTAAGATCTAGTGAAACCTCGCCAATGTCGCGACTTTAATGACAAAACCGAGGGCAACTTGATTTGGTTCAGATGTTGCGATTGTTTTTCTCCATAACTGAGCTGATCGAAACCAATGGTTGGAGGTAGTTCGGTCGGCAGTTAATGGATGGAGAGGAGCTGAATCGAACTGTATCCACCCCTACTGTCGTTTGGTTTGCTTTTGGGTTATTGGGTTAAGAGAGATGTAAAAAGGAAAATTAAAATACAAGGGACTTATAGTTTAAGTGGTTGGAGAATTTACCTTACACCTGAGGTCTTAAATTCGATTCTCCCTCCCTCAATATTGCTTGTATTTAAAAAAAAAAAAAAGGAAATTAGAATGACAAATTACCGTTAGCAACACTAGTGTAGTGTGTGTGAAAAAACCCTCCTTCCCCCTTACTGACTTTGGCAAAAAACAAAAAACAAAAAAATAATAATAAAAAACTAATATACCATAACGAAAATAAAAAGAATATTAAAGCATATCGTACTCACAAAACACAGAAGTAAAGCCAACGACAAAGAAATTGAAGGTTTTTTTTTATTTTTTGTGGGAAACAAAAATTGAAGTTAATCCTCTCTCACCTGAACAAAGGCACCTCCTGACTGGTCAAAGAAATATTCAAAAGAGTAACGTATTTAATTTGATTCATTCTCTCTTTCTTTCATGTGCATTTGAAGTCAAATATTGCTGACCACTTGAGATCAAACAAGGTCCAACATTGGCAGACTGGCAGTATTCATAATAATAATTATGAATTAGAGCAACATGATCGATCAACAATTTTTATTTTCTTCCAAGAAAAATATATATTTTTTATAATACTTCTGACCCACTTAAATAATTTTCAACTGGTAATTAATTTAATTAGTGGCCACTAGAATTGGTTTCTTAGCTACAAATTAGTACTTCATTATTGGCGTTATTTGCTGAAATGAACATGCCAACCGGTGGATTTGTACCTAAAATATCAGTGGGTAGTGGCCATATTTCTAGTAGTGACTCTATCATCATGTTCTTCCCATGAGTTTGAGAGACACTTTGTTATCTGAAGATGAAACTGAGGAGATTTTATGAGATCTCTCTGGGGAAAATAAGTCTGAGGTTTGGATTAGACATCTTCAGAGGAAGTTAGATTGTCTGAGTGTTGTACTGAAATACTGTTAGGAAAATAAATCAAGGCATTTTGATTTGACCGTGGCTGAGTGCATAGAGAGGTTCGTCCACTTAGGAAAATAAATCAAAATCGTGTTTGACAATGAGATAAGGACCGCGAAACACACACGCACACCAAAAACACGACGATATATTGTGATTCACCCTAATGGGCTACATCTATGTTGAGTTATATGGTTGTTTTCACTATAGTAAAATGTTGTTACATTGTACATAGGCTTAAGAGCCTTTGAGAGTAAAATGAGAGTGAAATACAACTTAGGTTGGTTACAAATGAAAGGAGTGTTCCCTTAAATAGGCACGGCTTGAGCCATCCATTGTGGACTTCCTTGGGGGCTTCATCATGTGAGCTTAGTGAGGCCCAAACCATGGTATCAATAGTAGTCCTCCAAGTCAATGGCCTCTTAGCTGGGGACGTGAAATGTAATGATTGTAATCCATACGCTTGCCGAACTGAGCAGTCTTCGTCCTATATCTTTAGGTCTTGTTGACCGGAGGGTTGTGTGGACTTGAGGGCCGTGGATCGGGTTGACTGATGAATCGTGAATCGGGTTGACTGAATAATCGTGGATAAGGCCGATCAAAGATCACAGATCAGTTCGACCGTGGGACCGTAGTAAGGGCCATTATAATATTGCTGTCACTTTTAAAAAAAAGTTGCTCGCTTTAAAAATTTCTTCTTAAAAAACCGCTTATAGCAAGAGTGCTTATTGGCAGATCCACTTCCAAACAGACCGAAATAAACGAAACTCTAAGCTTTGGAATGTTCATAAGTCGGTACATAATTTCATAATATTTCTTCTTCATATTTTGTTCACTCATATCCGTTACTGAATTCATGGAGCCACCGTCTTTAAGTTTCTTGTCAGCTTTTACGTACAATTTAACGCAGCGTTAAAAAAGAGAGAAAACATCGTCATCATTGAGATCACCGCCAAGGCTCGAAGGTATCCCAAATTGAAGTGGTCATAGCTCATCAAGGACGCCAGCGTAATTGAAAGCGACAAGTAGCTCTCTCTCTCACCCACCTCCCACCATCTCTGCGAGACTATAAACACACTGATACTGACATACTGTTCCCAAATTTGGTCGATTTTCTGCTGAATTTTGTTGCTGGTGAAAATGGCGAAGAAGCGTGTGATGGTGGCTGCTCAGAACGTCGACTTATCCGCCGTCCAATACGAGCAAGAAGAAATCAAAGGTCAGGCAGTTACAAGTTCACAAACACAAATATAACACTCGTATGAATATGGAAAGTAATTGTCATTGACTTTGATGAATTGGGTTTTTGGATTTTTAGCTCCCCATTTGACTGGCTTAGCTTTTAAGCTGTTTGTGTGGATTGTTGAAGCACCGATCATAGGTTCTTTGATAATCTCATTATTGAAGAAGCAGAACAAGATGACTCAGGTCTGCAAGCTTTTTAAAATTTGTGTTTCTTTATTTTAAATAATTCAATTCCTTATTGAAATGTACCACTATGTGTGAGAATTTAGATTGTAATTAGAAGTGATTGAAAGGGAATTATCTGTTATTACAATTTACAGTTGTTGCGGAATACTGTGATACCAGAGACACCCATGTTCAAACCTGAATATCCTCCCCAAGGTTCTCCATTTTTATTCTTTCAATTGTCTTTTTTATTTATTTTTGGGTATGAAATGTTTGTTCTTTTCTACTCTTCTTTTATATTGAAAATGGTTGTGAGGATTACTGACCCAGTGAATGTTATGTGAAAATTAGAACCAGAACCTGGTGTTGTTTCCCTTGATGAAGATGGAAAACCAGAAGACAGAGTTGAAGTGGCCTTGAA